GGGGGGGGGGGGGTCCGATATGGAGTAACGAATAAGAAAAAGGTCTAGCGAAAATTGAAACTTACAGATGTAAGAGGTAAGATAGCAACTCAATTAGTGAATTACTACTCTGTTATCAATTATGTATAATTAATTATGTGTATAAAGAAATAGAGAAAAATATCACAATAGTCCAAGTAGATGTTTTTCTCTTTTTGATTGTTAATTTATAGGGCGTCAATCTAAATTGATATGAAATACGAAAATTGAATCATCTGAAATTTGGAACTGGTATATAGGTGAAAATTAAAGGACCAATCAGTAAAAGTTATAGGAAGAAACATACAAAGATTTTGGTCCACGAGAGTTAATATTACTTCAATTTTGGGACACAGAATTTGGATGGATTTGCAAGAGAGGACATTTTCTTGAACTTAGAATTGCCTTTTATTGTGGTTGACATTGACCCTTATACAATTAGTGGTCAGAGAAATTTTAAAGACCAAATTCAGAAAGTATATTTTTAAAATGAAGGAAATTGTTGATTTGATGGTTGCAGTTTCCATTTAAAACAACAGATTGCATTGTTTTAAACTAGTATAAGTTAACATTACCGTCGAGGATTGCATTAGAATAGTTCGAGTAACTTTATCTTTAATTAAAGGTATAGATTTCATGCCTTGAGAATAAATATTTTTTTATGAGAACGCTTTGCCCCTTAGTGTGCCTACTTGGTAAGAATTTAGATTAGTTAGGTCTATCGATTTTGGATACTTGATTATTAAAAAATATTAAAATCATTTTGGTTTTGTAACATGTGATTTGCACGGCATATAATGTTCTTTTTTTCCTTTTCCGGACAATTTCTCGAGTGTTTATTACTTGTACGGTAGTAATAATTGACAACCAAATGTAACATCTATATCAAGGAAAACAACAAAGAGCTCAAGGTCATTCGACACACTTATATATTAATCTCAACTAACCCATTATGTAGTGCAACCTAGCTGGTTCTTTGTCTTCAATAAAACGTTTTTATCAGTAAAAGAAACAAGAAAACAAATGAAAGATAGAAAGAAAAAGGAAAGTAGTTCCAATTGCAGCCTTACGTTTATTTCCACGGGGGTGTATTGTATTCCCTGGAAATACACATAGATTCTAAACAAATCAATTTTAACGTGACTACAAATGAGAACGTGTTGACTACAATTTGAGTTGACAATTGGACTTATCTCCGGGGCGGATGTACCGTTATAGGTACGGGTTCAATTGAACCTATAACTTTCGACGCGGCGTATAAATTTAGGTGTAAAAATTATAATAAGTAGTAGAGATAAACCCATAAACCTAAAAGTTTCAATACTAAAAACCTAAAAATTGAACCCATAAACTTTAAATCCTGAATCCGCCGCTGCTTAGCTCATGCTTATATTGAAAAAAACAACGAAGTAGCTAACAAAATTAGCTAGAAACGGAGTAGGTATCTATGCTTGTTTTTAGAAAGTAACGTCCTAGTTTTTATAGTCAAATTAAATTATAAAACTTTGTGAAAGCAAACCTAATTATGGCTAGCATTAGTAAACATGAAATGAAAGCTAAAAAAATTGAGGGCGCATCTGTAAAGCCACTGTATTTGAGTGTAATACATGACTGATGTGTTTGTTTGGCCAAATAATTATTTGGTCAAGACTGAATTAGTTGTAATTGGGGTAGAGTAATTATACTCTTCAATTCTCAAAGGATGAGGGGTTAATTATTGATTGTAAATTACATATTGACACAATTACTTTTAAAATATGAATTTTCAAGAAAATTTTTCCCACTACTCTAAAAATTAATTACAAAGTTGACCGGTAAGTGACACAACGAGAATTTCCAAATCTACAGCTAACGTAGTAGGATGGCTATAAGTAGAAAAGAGGATTCTGTATCTCCAAAATATTTGGGGTAGGTGCACAAACAACCATTCTTTTGAGACGTTATTTAGAAATTAGTAACTACTTATTTTGCCCTGAAGTTATAAACTAAAAATTTTAAATTTAGGATAAGTCAAGACAATTTAATCCCGAAAAATTAAAATTCAAGATGCATTAGATATACTTAATAGCAGCCTTTTAGAGTGGCTATCCGGAGTCATTTTTACAAATATTTGGGCCATTGAGTAGTAGAGGCCCGAGTGAAAGTCAGTTGGATCAGTGACACAGAGTGTGGACACGTTCACCAAATACCCATCACCAGAAATGAGCTAAAAAACATTGAGGAAAAACAAAAGGCATTACCTGTGTCTACGTGCTAAAAAATGGTGTAGATAATACCATAATCCAATAATCACAAAAATGGCTAACCGTTTTGGTGTCAAATTACAGAACAGGCTGCCAAGTTTGGCGGGTGTTTATCCATTTTCAGCTCCCATAACAACTACCAATTCAGTTATTTATTCTTATAAAAAGTTAAGAATTGTTGGTAAGAGGAGAGCGTTTATTCCACGTAGAGTGGTGATAGGAATTGGGATATCAGTTTGGTCTCAGTTCATGGGCATGGCTGCCAATGTCGGTGGTAAATCTTTCATGGCTTCTGCCAGTCAGAAGAGTGCAATTGAGCAGGTAATTAAATTCTTCATCTTTCAGCTTCAACCCATGCTAGATTTTGGTTAATCTTCTCTTATCGTTACCTGTTAGGTTTCCCTAAAAAGTTATAAATTTTCGGGTTCGAACGAATAGATGACTCTTAGTTAGCTTGGTTTCTTTTCCGGACTGTTGGAGTTGTGGAATGTGGTTATTTAGTTTATGCATACAGCATATTCAATCTATTGTGCAAGGTTGGGGATTACCTGGCAAAGTTGGGAACTTTATGACGTCAATGTGGAGTGTGAGTGGTAAAATTGATCATAGAATATTATTGATCATTGAAATGATAATGAGCTCATAGAGGTGGCATTTGGTAACCCAATTTTCCTTGAAAATTCAAGGATTAATAGAACAAATCATTCTTAGAAGATTATTGATCTGGCAAGTAATGAACTAAGGCCAGAATTGGATTACCTGGAATAGGCATTGTTTGCGATCTAATTTCAGTTTCATAGTCCAGCTGAATCTTGTTGTCGCTAAACCTATCTACTGATACACCTTTGTCAAACTTATGTCTCAACATCGAATGATTCGTTCTGATTGAGGACAAGTTCGCTTGGTTCTAGTTTTCATGCATTGGCTTTTATTTGCTTTCTTGAAGGTTTTGAAGAATGTCGAATGGCCAGAACAATTTCCTTTCAGGGATGAGGATTTCCAGCGCTTTGATGAGTAAAAACTTTCCAACTTTTGCTTGCTTTTTGTTTGTGTTCCAAAACTTTACTTTTCATATCCATAGAGCTGTGGGCTGAAAAATTGATTGGACTTATTTTTGGGTTGAGTTCATCTTCAGATCACCAGATACATTATTCTATGAAATGCCACGATTTGTGACACATATCGATGATCAAGCTATTGCTGCACTTACCAAATATTACTCAGAAGTCTTGCCTCCTAGTAATGCTCCTGGAGTAGCAATACTTGATATGTGTAGCAGTTGGGTAAGATATCTCTTGCTTGTAATTCTCTCTTTTCCTGAACATGCTTACATGATCATCAACTAGATTTTCTTCTTATCTAGGTCAGTCATTACCCTGCTGGGTACAAGCAAGAAAGGATAGTTGGAATGGGTTTGAATGAAGAAGAGCTTAAGCGAAATCCGGTAAGAGCTAAACACTACCTTTCAGTCTTAGCCTCCCTCATTTTTATAATTTTCTATTATGGCCATCTGAACATAACCTGCCTTTGTCTTTTAAGTATGATTGATGCACTTCGGTCCTGATCTTCTCTTCTTCAATTAACATGTCCTGTCACACCCCATAACCCACCCACCCACCCACCCACCCCACACACACGAAAGGAAAAAAGAAAAAGGGAGGAAGTTCCATGCCCTGCAAATTGTGGTCCACTGTAGACAAAGATACCATTTTCCAGAAGTCGCCATTTGGGTGTGAGAGCTTTTTTCCTGTGTCTGATCAAGATCCAGAAATGGGTGGCCATATTTTAGGAGATTTTTGACGGATTAAGGCAATGCAAGAACTTCTCTCACTTCTGCTTTATAAAAAATGAGAAAAAGCTGAATATCATATTTAGATAGAGAAAATAAAAAAGTGATATATTCTTTACTCGAATTTGTTCCCTTATGTTTCATTGTGCAATGTGGATGTCACTTGGAATGTATTCTCGATAAAGCATCACCTTGATCAGATGAATTCGTGAACTTGCATATTCGATATCTCTGCAGGTTCTAACAGAGTATGTAGTTCAAGACTTGAACAATAATCCTAAGCTCCCATTTGGAGACAATACCTTTGATGTTATAACCAATGTGGTATGTTCATCTTATCCATTTTTCATTGATATCTGGCATTGAGCAAATGCTCGTCTTTTCTGCATCCTATGTGAACATGCATACACTTGCTTAATGATGATGCTATTCATTGTACTTCAAAGTTTCTCTTGCATCATTAGCTCCGCTGGGCATTCTATTGCATAAGAATTGGATGATCCATGTCTTTTTGGTTTTAAAGAAACGGGGCTTTGGCAGCAATTCAGTGAAATTGCTTTTTAATTTAATGCTGACATTGTCTCTTCATTTATGGTTGGAATCCACTAGTTTAGTTGCTGCTTGGTCTCCTAAGGTTGAGAATAAGTCTGATTACATCTAAATGTCAGTTGTCCACTTGTGGTCTTATCAGTAGCCTCCGTAGGATCAGAAAATAAATTGTGCCACGATTGACTAGAGAAGTACTATGTAGTAACTTAGTCCATATTCGCTGGCAATGAGTTCTAATGTTTGTTCTCCTTTACTCGTTTCACAGTGATAAAAGAAACATGAAGCATCCAGCTTTTGAGATCACTGTTGGAACTTGCAACCAACTAACTTCTGATGACAGATTTTTCAAATTTAAAATGAGATAACATTTGTTCTTTCTAGGAAGATCCAGCTTCAAATCCATTGTATTCCGTCAGAGACAAGTTGCGCTCTTGCACTCAATCACATGCATCAATTGTGCTTTATCACTTCATAATAGGTTATACAATTATCGAATAGGACCTGGTTCCTTTATCCTCAACCAAACACATCTCCAAACTACTAGAATCTGTAAAAGAAGAGCAGAAATAAGAACTTATGTCAAAAGAACAAGGGGAAAACTTTTCTGAAACCGAACACACCCATAATTTCAACACCTTAAGCATAACACGGTATAGAAAACTTGGCCATTAGTGATCTTGTCCATTAAGAATGTGATTGTACCTTGCCAGTCACATTCTTCCAGAGATGGCTGGCTCTTTTTTCAATAATTTGTGACATTTCTTTCTTCTCTTTTATATGTGGATTCTGGAAATAGGAAACCATGCTTTATGCTTCCCCTTTATCCTGCTAGAGACAACTACCTACTCTGATATTTGTGATAAGTTATAGACAACATTTAGGATGACTAAACATCCGGTCTTGGACTGTAAATCATAAGTTGCATAGTTGTCATAGAAATACTATTTCTTGCATTAATGGAGTGCTCTTCTTGCATGTTGTAGTGAAAAATTTAAAAGCTAATGAACATGGATTCCCCTTGCAGGTTAGTGTTGATTACTTAACAAAGCCTCTTGATGTTTTCAAGGAAATGTCTCGTGTTCTTAAACCTGGTGGGCTTGCAATTATGAGGTAAATAATGACAAGAAAGTGAAATTTTTTATTATGTCTGACGAATACAAATCCAAAAAGTTTCTTGGCTTGGTTCCAGCTACCCTTTTTCTGCTTAGATATCTAAACTTGGGCCATTAATTTCCGGTGTTTCCTTTAACACTAATTGTAAGGCCTAAAACCAATCTTCAACTATTTGGGCTCTTCCTGTGTACCAGTTTCTCGAACCGCTGCTTCTTTACAAAGGCTATCTCGATTTGGACATCAACTGGAGATGCTGATCATGTTATGATAGTTGGGTCTTATTTCCATTATGCTGGAGGATTTGAACCTCCACAGGTAACTTCTAGGTTCTCTGCTTAGAGCATTTGTTAAAGTTCATCATCTTCGGCATATTAATCTCACAAAGAGATGATTTCTCCTCAATCCATATGATAGCAAAAGTTAAACTTATTTGATAAGTTAAAATGTCAACACCTTGTACCACTTTCCTTAGCAAAGAACACATCCCTTTTGTTTGTAAGCATTGTAAAATTGTGATTCATGACACTACATGACAACTGTTTATCCCATAATTGGGACATCTCCCCACCCCCAAAACACATACACAAGAAAAGAAAATGTGAAAGGAGCCACAGGCAAAAGTCATTTGATTCAAAAGAACAAAACGTATAAGAGTATAGGGCTAACTTCTACTATGCTAGTTCTCTTGGAGTAAGGTGTTCATATGTTACTTGCTCACTTGTAGTTTCTGCTATAATAATTTAGGCTTTAGAAGGAAAGCCAAGAAGAGAGGAAGGATAAAGCTGCTGCTATCATAATATGGATATTTCTGTCTGCCTCTCCCTTGAGCATCTTTTTAGTTTTTAGGGCATGTGATACAACTTTCTCTTTTCGTTATTTTATACTCGACGTGAATTCATCCTATGTTGAGTATCGATATATCAGCATGAAGTTATATATGATAATGCAAAAACCTGGCCCTGTTAATAGTTTGGTTAAAGGGTAAGACGCTGAATTCCTAGTGGACATTGCTAGAAAGTAGTCTGATTGGATCCACACAAATTGTACCTAAGTACTAGAGCTTTTCTTCCAGAAAACTCTTTAACTTCTTTGATTTTAGTTTAAACAATTCTGTCGCTTATTGGCTTTTAAGATTGAGAATCACTTTTTGCTTCTGCTGATTATTTTTCACGTTGTTTCATTATAGGCTGTGGATATATCTCCTAACCCTGGACGTTCGGACCCCATGTATATAGTATATTCCAGGAAGATAGCGACAGCCTGAAATTGGACTACTGGTCTAGATGGTTCTGTTAGCTCGTGCCATTTCAGCTATGAGTTTTCGTGTCGATTTGGTAAGTATTTTATTCATTGATCACAGGAATGTACAGTCAAGAGTAGTGAAAGGTGAGATAGAATGATAGATCTGCTCCTGATCTGAGAGAATGTATTCCCTATTTTCCTTCATAAACACATTCAACAGAGGTAATTCAAAATCCATCCAGTTTAACTATTATAGCCAAAAGTCATAAGTTGGCAAAAGTACTTATTTGGTTGGGAAGGATAGGAGGGTGTTTGGATTGACTTATTTTAAGTGTTTATTGGCTTTTAAGCATTTTTTTAGTTTGTGGTGTTTGGCAACGATAAAAAGTGTTTAAATGCACTTACTTTTAGGCATAAAAAGTACAAAAATAAGCCAAAAGCCAAAAGTTGAATATTACCAACTTATGACTTTTGGCTTTTAGCTTAAAAGTTACTTTTTAAAAGTCAATCCTAACACCCTCTGGGACTTCTGACTCCAAGCCTACCCTACCCGAAAAAAAGTTTCAGCTATTGATGTAGCCTCTAGCGGCGTGGTCCAGAACAAGCCTTTGCTGACGTTGACAATCGATTCCTTCCAAAGGGAGCTGTTGCCGGACTCTATTATGGGTTTCTGACCACATTCTCCATAGGGCCCTTTTATCTCTTCCTTCTCCGAGCTCTGGTTATGGAAGAAGGAATCGAGAAGAAGGTATCAACAACAACTGATTTTATTACGGGACAGCTCATGATTCATGACCATGTATATTTAAGTTTTAGAGGTCAGTAAGAGGACTAGGAGAGGAAAGAAAGAAGACCTACATTACACATCGCGAGGAAGGCACTAAACTATTTGTTTGTTTGTTTTTAAGAATTGTGGATGACCAACAGGAAAAATGGTGAGTCCCAAATCCCAATGTTGAGTTGGTTTCAAAAAATTATGGACCAAATTTAAAAACAATTATCTGGTACTTGGGGGCGTTGATGGTCACACTATCTTGTCGATAATGTCGGCGAGGGGTCATTTGGTTGGCCGCTTAGAAATGAAACTATTCCAATATAAATTTCACACAACTAACCTAAGAATGATATAATAACAAGAATACAAAGATAGATGCAAAGAAATTTATGTGGCCCCATGAATGGTGGAATTTAGCAAGTAATCGGAGCGCTAGGTTCAAGCAACTTCATACGATTTTATCCCTTTAACTCTTCAATCTAATTTCTATATTCATAGCTTAGAAGGCTTACCTTCACCTCTCTTAATTGGTTCTGCCAATATGCCTAGTCCACAACCAAGGAAGAACAATTCCAATATATATCAAGTGTACATAAAAGGTACAAAATTAAAGATATCAGTCTACTTAGTCAGCTCAGGTGATCTCCATAATCTATTTATTTCATAGGGGAATATAAATAATACATGGACGATTTGTAGATAACACATATTCGATTTATGATTTCACCAAGATCTCTCACTTTATAAAATAAAAAAATCCTGATAATAATTCATAAGCGATCAACGAGAGCACTTAGGCGATCCAGTGGTCCACAGAGCACTTAATTGAGACAAAATGGTACAAAGAATATGTGCAACTGGAAACACAGAAACTAACACCTAAATGCAAAACAAGCTGCAAATGGTTTTGGAGTTTTAAGTTTTGGAATTAAAAGATTGGTGAATGGGAAATAGAGGGAAAGTGAGCTCCATTTTGCTTTGGAAAGAGTAAAGTGTTCCTCATTGGCGGTGGAAAGAAAAGTGAATGTGTTTATATTGAGAAAACACTTCATTTGGTGTTAAATGGTTTGGAAAGAAACTAAGTCTCGCGTTGTCGCCGTCGGCTTCGGCTTTGCTCATAGATTGATTAATTTTTTTGGACAAAATTTCTTTCAATTATTTAATTAATTAACGAAAATTCAACCTGGAATACAGGACCCGCGACTGACCCGGTCCGGTTCTTTCCCGGATTATTTTAAATCCTTTTCCCTGAATATTTCAAACGTGAAATTTTCCCACATGTTCCAACAACTATGGCTGTTTCAGAAAGGTTGCAAACCTTTTCAGAAACAGTGCCAGAAAATGGCTATAAATATGGCTTGATCCCAGAATCTTTCCTTACGAAATTTTCTCATCTTTTTCTTCTTCTTATGCACAAAATTTTCAGTGTGTTTAACAACCATTGAGTGGTTCGCAGTTCATTAGAGTTTTTGGTACCAATACACTTGTGAGTTAAATCGTTCTATCCTGGAAGATAATATTCCAGCACCTTGGGTACTTGAGGGGAATAGTTTCCTTAAGGACTCACTGTGCATTCAGTGGGCTCGATTTATTCCGAAATTATTTTCAGATATTTTTTCGACATTCTGTTGCTGCTAACTTTCTATTTCTATTTTATGTTTCAGAAAGTTTACTGTTTCATTATTCATTATAGTAATACAGATTGGCTAACAATCTTAAGAAAATTAATTTTTATATTATAATCTGTATTCTGTTTTTGGAGATTAAAACCTGTGTAGTTTTCTACTCCTTTTGAATTTTTCTATTCTGATTTGAAGATATAAAAACTTCATTGGAGTATTAAAATTCAGAAACGATTTGAAAACATAAAAACTTCATCGTTTTCTGTGAAACATTATATAAAAACTTCTGTTTTATTTATTAAACGTACTATTTATCATTAATTACAGTATTGTTTACTGTTCTATTTTTTGCCATTAATTGAACTCTTCTGTTGTTGACAGTGAGAAAAGATAATTGATAATGGAAATCCTTCTGCGACTGTTGCGGCAACGACGATAGCCTCATTAACCCGAATTGATGTGCCACTGACCGAGAAATAATTAACCCGAATTGATGTGCCACTGACCGAGAAATAGGAGAAATTTTCTGGAGCCAACTTCAAAGGATGGCAGCAAAGGGTGTTCTTATGGCTTACCACACTTGGTATGCAGAAAATCACCAGTGAAGAACCTCCAGTGCATGTCGTGGACATGCCAGACAACGAGAAATTTATGATTGTTGAGCGTGGAAACAGACAGATTTTCTTTGCAAAGGCTACATCCTAAGTGCTTTGGAGGATGACTTGTATAATGTCTACAGTTCTATGTAAACTTCGAAAGAATTATGGGATGCATTTGAGAAGAAGTATAAGACTGAAGATGCATGCTTGAAAAAGTTTGTGGTTAATTTTTTAGACTATAAAATAATAGACATCAAAACTGTTGGAACCCAAGTTCAAGAGCTTCAAATTATTTTTTACGACCTTATTGCTGAAGGTATGGTAGTGAATGAAGCATTTCAAGTGGCTGCAATGATTGAAAAATTGCCTCCTTCGTGGAGAGATTTCAAAAACTATCTTAAGCACAAGTGCAAAGAAAAAGTTGGAAGATCTTGTGATTCGTCTCAAGATTGAGGAAGACAACAAAACAACTGAAAAGAAATCTCGTGAAAATTCAACGATTATGGGAGCTAATATCGTTGAGGAGACTACTCCAAAAAGTAAGAAGAGGAAGAGGTCTTCTGGACAGACTAAGGAGCAGAACAAGAAGAAATTCAAGGGCAACTCCTACAATTGTGGAAAAGCTTGTCACAAAGCCCCTGATTGTCGTCTCCCGAAAAAGGATAAGAAAAAGGGACAAGCTAACATAGTGGAGAAGAATGATGACATTGATGATCTGTGTGCAATACTTTCGGAATGCAACCTAGTTGAAAATCCGAAGAAGTGGTGAATTGACTCTGGATCCACTCGACATGTTTGTGCTGTCAAAGAAGCATTTCCGACTTACTCTACTGTTGGTCCCGAATAAGAGCTTTCCATGGGAAATACTCCAACAACCAAGATTAAGGGTTATGGAAAGATATTCCTGAAAATGACTTCCGGCAAAGTGTTAACGCTCAACAACGTTCTTCATGTTCCTACTATTAGAAAGAATTTAGTTTCAACTTCTTTACTTGTTAAGAATGGATTCAAATGTGTATTTGTATCTGACAAAGTTGTTGTAAGCAAGAATGAAATGTATGTTGGAAAGGGCTACCTCACAGAGGGCCTTTTCAAACTCAATGTAATGGTTGTTGACACTATTAATAAAATTTAGCTTCTTCTTATTTATTGGAGTCAAATGATTTATGGTATATTCGTTTAGGACATGTCAATTACAAAACTTTGTGAAAGTTAATTTATTTAGAAGTATTGCCTAAATTCGAGTGTAATAAATCAAAATATCACATATGTGTTGAATCTAAGTTTGTTTTATAAGTTTGTAAAACATCCTTATAAGTATGTTGAAAGGAATTCAAATCCTTTAGACTTAATTCATACTAACATTTGTGATATAAAGTCGACACCATCTCGAGGTGGAAAAAAGTATTTTATAACTTTTATTGACGATTGTACTCGATATTGTTATGTTTATTTGCCTAATAGTAAGTATGAAATAATTGAAGTATTTAAGCAATAACCACCACCTAGTATAATCCCGCAAGTGGGTTCTGGGGAGGGTAGGATGTATGCAGCCTTACCCCTACCCTGGAGGGGCAGGGAGACTGTTTCCGATAGACCCTCGGCTAAAGACGGTGAAGGAAGCCCTGATATCAAGTAATAGCAAGACCAATAATTAGAAAACTAAATCGAAGATAGCAACAGAGAATATGAAAGGGGTACCGATAACAAGTAATAGCAAGACCAATAATTAGAAAACTAAATCGAAGATAGCAACAGAGAATATGAAAGGGGTACCGATAACAAGTAATAGCAAGACCAATAATTAGAAAACTAAATCGAAGATAGCAACAGAGAATATGAAAGGGGTACCGATAACAAGTAATAGCAAGACAGTATAATTAGAGAAATAAATCCAAGGCAGCACACGAGAATATGAACGAAGTACTGCTAGTAAACTACGAAATTACCGATGTCAAGTAGTAACGGAACAAGACATGCAAATATAGCAAATTAAGGAAAAATAGGGTACCATACTAGCACTAATACCATCGAACTAGATAAGACAAATGGAAACGCACGACTACCTACTAACATTCTACCCTAATCTTCAACCTCCACACCCTTCTATCTAGGGTCATGTCCTCGGTCAGCTCAAGCTGCTCCATGTCCCTCCTGATCACCTCTCCCCAAGACTTCTTTGGCCTACCTCTACCCCTCCTCTCACATCGCCTGACTGGAGCATCTGTGCTTCTCCTCTTAACATGCCCGAACCATCTCAACATTGCCTCACGCATCTTTGCCTCCACAGGGGTCACTCCTACCTTGTCCCAAATAACTTCATTCCTAATTCTATCCAACCTAGTATGCCCACACATCCATCTCAACATCCTCATTTTCGCTACTTTTATCTGCTGGACATGAGACTTTTTGACTGGCCAACACTTTGCCCCATACAACATATTCGGTCTAACCACTACCTTGTAGAACTTACCCTTAAGCCTCAACGACACATTTTTATCACACAAGACACCGGAAGCGAGCTTCCACTTCATCCACCCTGCTCTGATACGGTGTGTGACATCCTCATCTATTTTCCCATTCTTCTGAATTATGAATCCCAGATACTTGAAACTCTCTCTCCTGGGAATGACTTGCGTATGGAGTCTCACATCCCCGTCCGCCTCTTGGGTAACACCGCTGAACTTGCACTCCAAGTATTCTGTCTTGGTCCTGCTCAACTTGAAACCCTTAGACTCTAGTGTATGTCTCCATACCTCCAGCCTCTCGTTAACGCCACCTCGCGTCTCATCAATCAGGACTATGTCATCCGCAAATAACAAGCACCAAGGCACCTCCCCTTGAATGTGACGCGTCGAAGAATCCATCGCCAGGGAAAACAAAAACGGGCTAAGCGATGATCCCTGATGCAACCCCATCTCAACCGGAAAGTAGTCAGAGTCTCCTCCTGTTGTCCTAACCCGTGTCTTAGCCCCATCATACATGTCCTGAATCACTATAATATACACTACATGCACTCCTCTAGCTTCCAAACATCTCCATAAAACCTCTCTCAGGACTTTGTCGTAGGCTTTCTCCAGGTCAATGAACACCATATGCAAATCATTCTTCACCGCCCTATACTGCTCTACCAATCTCCTCACAATGTGAATGGCCTCAGTAGTCGACCGTCCCAGCATGAAACCAAACTGGTTCTCGGAAATGGACACACACCTCATCAACCTCCCTTCAATTACCCTCTCCCACACTTTCATCATATGGCTTAACAACTCGATACCCCTATAGTTGTTGCAGTTTTGGACATTCCCCTTGTTCTTGTACAACGGGATCATCATACTCTGCCTCCACTCTTCGAGCATCTTCTTCGTCCTAAAAATGATGTTAAACAGTCTAGCAAGCCATTCCACGCCCTCCTTACCCGCGCTCTTCCAGAATTCCACCGGGATCTCGTCCGGCCCAGTCGCTCTACCCCTACTCATCCTGCGCATAGCCCCTACAACCTCCCCCACTCGTATGCGTCTAGAGTACCCAAAATCTTGCTGCCGCTCTGAGTACTCCAACTCCCCCAACACAATGCCCTTATCTCTCTCTTCATTCAAGAGTTTATGGAAGTAAAACTGCCATCTCTGCCTAATTTGTGCCCTCTCCAATAAAACTCTTCCCTCCTCGTCTTCTATGCATCTCACTTGGTCCAGATCCCGGGCCTTCCGCTCCCTCACCTTTGCTAGCCTGTACAACTTCTTGTCCCAGCCTTTATCCCCAATTTCTTCGTATAAACGACTAAACTCTACGGTCTTAGCTGCAGTAACCGCCAACTTCGCCTCCTTCCTAACCTTCTTGTACCCCTCCCTGTTAGCACTCTTCTGACCCTCGTCTATACTCTCTACTAGCTTCAAATATGTCGCTTTCTTGGATTTCACTTTTCCTTGCACCTCTTTGTTCCACCACTTGTCCCTTTTATGGCCACCAGAAAAATCCTTTGAGACCCCTAACACCTCTCTCGCCGCCTCTTTAATACAATTTGCTGTCATGGACCACATACAACTCGCGTCCCCGTTACTCCTCCAGGCCCCCATAGCCAACAACTTGCTGTCATATACCACATACAACTCGTGTCCCCGCTACTCCTCCAGGCCCCCAGAGCCAGCAACTTCTCCCCCAACTCCTGGGCCTTGTCCTTAGTCAATGCACCCCACCTGACCCTAGGTATACCAAACAAAGCCCTCTTCTTCCTCGTCCACTTAATCTCCAAGTCCATAATCAAAAGCATATGTTGGGTCGTAAGATTCTCACTTAGGATGACCTTGCAGTCCGTGCAAAGACCTCTATCACATTTTTGGAGAAGTAGATAGTCAATCTGGTTCTTGGCGGCCATACTCCGGAAAGTTATCAGGTGCTCTGCCTTCTTCGGGAAACATGAGTTAGCGATTACCAGCTCAAAAGCTTTAGCGTACTCCAGCAGTGAAGTACCTCCTCTGTTTCTATCTCCAAAATGAATCCACCATGTACACCGTCATATCCCCCAGGCGACCTCCCAATTTGGCCATTAAAATCACCCCCTATAATAAGCTTCTCGGTGGATGGTATACCTCGCACCAACCCATCCAAATCTTCCCTGAAGTGTCTTTTAACCTCCTCGCCCAAACCTACCTGAGGTGCGTAAACAACTACTAGCTCCCTTAGATCCTTATCAACTAAAATGCCTACCCCGTTCTTCCCTCTCACCCTCCATGAATACCACAACTTAAACCCATGAGTCTCCTGAGCCCTGTTCCCCACCCATCTAGTCTCCTCGACACAAGCTATGTTAATTTTTCTCCTATGGAGAATCTTTGCTAACTCTATAGACTTCCCCGTTAGAGTCCATATGTTCCATGACCCCACTCTCCACCTAGAAGGTGCCTTAGCCCCCTGCCACCCCTCCCCCTACCC